CGATTTTGGTGCTTTTATTGGAATTAAATGTATTTCACCGTAAAATGTGGCCATTTAAACACTGGTATGACCATGTGTTTAGGTATAGGGAAGGAGAGGCTACTGTACACTTTTTAGTAATGAAGGTCCACTAATTTAGGGTGCCGCCTCCAGCAGTCCATAGAAGTCAGGCGTGATTTAACATCTCGCTGGCCTCTGGCACATACACGAGGATAAACAAACACACATACCAGTATGTGAGAAAGTGAAGGAAATAGCGACAGCGGCTGCATAAATGTGCCAGAAGTAGCCTGTAGCCATTGTTGCCTTACTAAAACATGTTAATAAATGTATGTTTTATTTACTGCACATTTTATTATATTGCATTAATGTGCATGTGTATGGTAACTTACATTCGGTCACTAGAGCCAGATGGCATTTGTTTCCACTACTTCTGACTCAAATAGGTCACCTGTCATGGGTTAAAATTCCAAGTCTTTCATTATATTGATGACATCATGGGCACGGAAACATTTCTAACTCACTTGATGAAAAGTATTACCCTCTGTGCAACATGAGCTGCTACACTGTCCTTTCAAATGTGGTAAAAACAAGCTACATTTGTTGACATCAGCCTGATCCTTTCTCCTTCCCTGTCCACGTCTAACCTCGCTCTCTGGCTTGTTTAGAGACACTTTATCTGATGAGTTACAAACATTGTTCCTTCAAAACCATTTAGCGGCTCAGATGCCAGAAGATGGTGTGAGGGTCTGTTAAAGGTCAACAAGCGTTATTGCAGAGAGGCTCTTTATCAGTTCATCTGGACAATGTCAAAGGAGACCTTAGCTGTCTCGCTTGGCCACTCTGTCTTCATTTCACACAGCTTTACTCAGTCTGTGTGGTACTATAGGGGAGCCTAATGCAAGTTCTCTGTGACAGCATCATATTTCAGGCGGTCTTTGACTGGGACAGAGTTCTGGGACCACCAAAATGAATGTGGACGTTACAAATTCAGGAAAATAAAGTGGTGCAGCTTACACATTTTGTAAGCCGACCAGGAAGTTAGCGTCGGAACAGTCACGCAACAAAAAGCAATGAGATTTTACCATTGGATTTGTGGCAAACGCATGTTTATGATACTTTTTGTATGTTTTATTCAGCAGGATAATCGCCATATTAACACTGTGTTTATGAATTTTGAACTGAAATGCAATTGCCAGAAGTAAAATCCAATTGACTACATGACGGTCGCATGAAGACATTTAGTAGTCTCATTTAATCACTTGTTATCAACAGCTTCTTTTCAAGACACATAGAAGCTCCGAACAATTATGAGTTGGGTATTTAGTGATGTATTTTATGTCGTAGAACAAAACATTAAAATCTCTTAAGCTTGTATTAACGACAGCTCATTTCAGGTCTCTAACCAAAAACATGTTCAAAAAAAACCTTGACTTCCAGACAGGGAAATTCAAGAATTGGGAAAAAATGCAAACTCATTTCAGTGTTAAAGGACTCATTCCTTCACCACTGTATAGAAGTCACTTTTTAAAAAGGTAATGAACACAGTGCTGCTCAATGAAGCCCCTGCTGTTCTTTATTGTTTTATTTCTACAGAACAGAAGCCTTCTCACGCATTACAGCACACACCATGTCCGAGTAAACATGCACACTTAGAGCCTGTATCCCCAAAGGAAGAGGAGTGGGGGGAGGGGGGGGGGGGTTCAGCCGTGTCAACGCACAAGAAATTCAATTAAGCAGACAGCAGGATGTCTCAGAAAAACCAAACTTCTTTTGAGCACAATATGCCCTCCAACAGTCCCCCACTACTCCACCTTGCATCTCCCTAGCCAACCCCTAACCGCTGTTCAGACACTCCCCCAACACCAGCGAGACCCATTGAGGGCCCCCTTTTATTCACTCCTCTCCCACTGCCCCTCTTGCCTCTAAAGAGAGAGACTTTCAGATTTACATTTGCCAGAAACATTTAAAATGTGTCTAAAAATGTATGAAACAGAAGCCTCAACCAACTGGTCTCTTTTACTCCTGGGACAGAAAACACATTCATCCTACTCCTCTTCTTCTTCCTGTCCGTCTGTGCACGTCTGCAACCGGGCAGATGCTGTTCATTTAGCACTCGAGTGGCAATCCTTGAGCTAGTCTCCTAAATACCCAGGGGGAGCTGGCATTTGGACAGCATTAAATAAAAGCCACTCTGCGGACCTCACACCGCAGCCACGTCTGACCTCACAACATGGTCACTCTGCTCAGATTTCAAGCAGCCAGTCAATCTGTGCCAGTGAAGAATGCTCTTACTAGACAGGCCTGGAGTAGCTAGTGTCAAACTGCGTCTGCGAGCAATTACATTTCTATCCAAACAGGTTTTTAAAGGGTACAGTCTGGATAGTCAACTTATGAAGTGTTTCTGCAGGTTTCAACAAGTTTAATTTGGAACTTTTGGGACAACATAGAATGAAATGTAATACCCATTTGTATGTTGAGGCCACACTAGAAGTTAAAGGAGCAATAGTAGCCTACGAACGAAAACAGACCTAGAAATATTTCCAGTTCATGATTTTATTGACTTATTTCAACAATACAAAAGTCATATAAAACAGTGATCTAAATCTTAATTTAAGATGCCATGGTGACAGTCCCCATAAAGATAATGACGCACTCAATGGATGACTGAGTGGAAAACCATTCTTCGCTTCTTCAGCCAAACAAAAAACATTTTGATGACCCTCTTAATATTTGCAGATAACATTACAGAAGAGCGATCATTTTAAAAATCGTATTCAGGACAACTTTACACTATTTTGTTGGACCTAAATTGAATTACAGACATCGTAAAATTACCCACGGTGGCCCTGTTATCTAACAGTAGAATAGAATCAATGTAGTATTGGTCTGTTGTTGTTTTTTATTGATTAATATCTTTGGCACTGTCAACAGCAGTCCTGTATTTTCCCACATGGACTTGTTTGCAATTATGTAAGAAAGATTTGTGATGTTCAGCTCTGTTAAAGACAAGATAGCATCAACGTCATCACCAATGTGTTGGTTTAAACAATGAAATATAATAAACCTCCTCTCAAGTGAGGCGGGTTTTTCCCATGCCGGCGTGTCATTGTGTGTGTGGGTATTTGTATCGTCAGTGATGAGCACAAAGAGCCTCAGGGGCACACAATGTCACACACATCGGGCGAAACAGCGGCTTAGAGAGGTGCTAGGCCTCTGCAGACACAATATTGCTGTTACATAATGACAGCCAAACACCGCACCAAAAATGTGTGTGTTGGCATGCGAGTGTTTACGGATTAAAAAGGGCTGTTTTTTTCTTTCGTGCTTGTTTCCATTATTTTGTATTTGTTACCTTCACGGTTTTTAAAGTCCACAATGTCCCAGAATGTTCGATGGACAACGTGACCTATGCGATCTGATTTGAAGCTGCTTGCTTTGAGCTGCCCCGTCCTTGTAAATCAGGGGAATAAATAATAAAGTTTCAAATGGTTGGGGGATTTTTTTTCCTCCCATGAAACAGAATTTACTCCCCTTGCCAAACAGATCGTGGCGAGTTATCAGCCCATGTGCTAGCTAAACGAAGCTTAGTGTCCTCCTGTTCCATCAGGGCATTTTCATCCCAGCTTCAAGCTTTCAGCCGTGTATTTAGGTCTTAACACAGGGACATTGATTTTCTGGTCCCGTGCCATGCATTTCAAACGTCCCTAAGCAGACATGAGTGCTCTTCCACAAGCAAAAAGGCAACAATGATAATCAGCGAATGACCGCAAAAAAATCAATATGCCTGTGTCCCCTTCTCTAAAAGCCATTAAGATAAGTCCCGTTCCTTAAGGACCACAAGTGCAGTGACCCAAATCAGTGCAGATTCAAATGATGGGGTAGCATGGGACTGAAAAGGCCACTTAAGGATCCTGCGTGTGCATAGTGTGTGTGTCATAATCACCCCAATCAAGACCTTACTGTGAGGTTAAGCCAAGACCCCACATGCTAATCCCTCACAGCAATTTTGATCAGCATATGGTGCAATCACCACTGACTGTATTATATATGAGGAATGAAACTGAGGAGATGAATACAGATGTGATGGGCCAGTGGTGTTTTAAAAGTAGAACCACATAGAAGTGTAAAGTAAATAAAGTAAATAAAGTATAATTTCAAAAGTTTTATGTTTTATGTCAGGGGTAACTTTTGGTCATCCATCCAACAGTTTTGGCCACATAGATGAAAAAACAATTAACATTTGACCAATGTTTAAAGGAATACTTTAACCACAAATGACCATTTCTTTATCAATTACTCTCCCTGTGTTTCTTTGAATTCTGGAAGAAAAAACTGGATTTACTCGCACATCTCTATAGAGAATAAGTTTAATTCTTTTTTTCTTTTTTAATTACTGGGGGTAAAAGGATGATGGTTTTACAACAGCAAAACTATATCAAAACATCTGTTTACAACTCTTACATAACTTGTGCAGTACAATCCAAGTGTCATTTATGCAGTCATATGCTCACTACTTCACAAACATATGCATTTTCAATTAAACTTCACTAATTATTTTACTTCAGACTCACACAAGTGTCAGACGGTTTATGGGGGTGTTTAAAAAAGGTACGTTTTTTGTGAAAATGCATGCTTGTTTGAAGAGTAGAGAGCATATAGTTACATGACACTTGGATCATACTGCACAAGTTGTGTAAGAGTTTTTAAATGGATGTGTTGATATAGTTTTCAGTTGTTTAACGCAGCACTCATTGACCTAAATTCCTCAAGTGTTTTCTCCAGTTTTTAGAAAACAAGTCTTTGAAACTTGTTTTCTTAATGTTTCCCTTTTCCCCAAGGTAACATTGGGTGAGTAATTGATATACTTTTGGTCATTTTGTTGGTGATATGTTGTTTTAATGTAAGGCCTGATTGATTGGACTCTGGGGCATCACTGTGTTAGGTCTGCCAGGACAGCCAGGTGTGTTTCCACAGGTGGATGGAGTGTGTGTACTCACCATTAAGTCCATTTGGGATGCTCCTGTGGTGGTGCGGTGCTGACAGGTCATCCATGGACCTCCTTATGGTGGTGCCTAGCTTACTGCTCTCTGTGGCGGGCTTGTGTATGTGGTTGTGATTGTGGTGATCTGGGCTCCCAGCACTTCCTGTGCTGGATGTGCTACTCCCATCTCCAACATCCCTGACGGTGCCGGTGCCCCCGTTCAGGTTGGTCAAACTGGACTGACTGTCTATTGAGCTCCTGGACCCCGCTCCGTTCCTCTCCTCATCCAGCATGAGGATGATCTCCTTCAGCTCAGAGTTCTCCCTCAACACGGTGTCCTGGTTGGCTTCCAGCTCCTTCAGCTTCATCATGTAGTTGCCCACCTCCTTCCACATGTTACTGGCAGTGAAGCGGCCGAATCGCTGCCACTCCCGGGACAGTTTCTTGCCCTTCTGTCGGTCGTCGTCCAGGAAGCAGCAGAGCTCCCGGAGCTCATGGTTGTCGTCCTGCAGCTTCTGGTTGATCTCCTTCAGGCTCCGGATCTCGTGCAGGTGCACCTGCAGCCTCCGGTTGATGTCTTTCATCATGTTGCCATGATCGATCATCAGGTTCATTTTCTCGCCGTCAACCTTCCTTAATCTCCGGACCAGCTCCTCTTTGCTGAACCGAAGCACCTCCTCGTCAGTCATCTGGCTCACCTCATCCTTCGCTCCCTCGGACGGATTTTTAGCCATGGCTGTCTCTGGCTGAGTCTCAGATCGTGTAAAAACGGAAATGTGCTGTCAAAACTAAATCAACAGAGCCTCAGTTGCGGGATTGTGTTAAAATACATTGTCCAAAATATGAAAGCATCGTTATGCCCTCCTCTTCAACAGGCCGATAAATAAAAGGAAATATTAATGTGATGCTATGGCAACCCGTAGATGAACTGAATGCCCTCGCTAATCTCGTAAAGGAAAACCCTTTCTTCAGCCTATTTCCAAAACAAATGCTCGTACTCACATTCCGTCAATAACGGAAACACATGATTTAAATCGATTAATTACCATGTACTTTCAATCAGGTCCTGGTTCCCATCAACATTCCCATAGCAATGTGCGCCCTCTCCTCTGGACATCGCTCCATTCAAACGATGGTAAACAGAAAGCGAAACAATTCAAATAAGCAGATTTGAGGTAAAAAATGTCGCGTAAACACGAGCCAATTGTAAAGTCCACTTGGTGCTCTCCTGTACGCGTTCACCGTCAACAACGCTCCTCGGATAAGCTTCTTTGCTGAGGTGGTGCGTTTGCGGACGGAGGATTCAAGCCTTTCCACTCAGCCTGCTCAGAATTAGCAGCCCACCCCCACCTCCTCCTTCTTGTCCAAACACTCGGGTTCGGTTTGAAATCATTCAAGAGGATTTCGGCCAAGACGGCCAATCAAGACGTAGCAGAGCAGTATGCAGCAGCAGGTAGATGAACAGTGCGGAGAGGCTCGCGGGGCTCAGGCTCAGCCCTCTTAAAGGAACAGACACCAGTTGGACTGACAAAAACACATCATTCTTTTTTTAAATAATTAATTAAAAATACATCAACAAAGCCCTAGAACATGGCTTCGAACTAATTGTAATAATATGTATATATTACCCTGACATAAATTAAATTACTAATTTATAAAAACGTCAATAAACACATGTTTAAGCATTTTGTGTATTTATTAGTAATACAAAAATAAATGTGTACTCTAAAAAAAGACACCATCTTGCCATGCTATCACACTAACCTCGACATCAAATAGGGCCAGGGCATCCATGGGCCAGGGCCGTAAAGTGGGGGGACCAATGGCCACCTTCTCCATTTCCTGCCCCACTGCTTCCAGCGCCCTTGCTCAGACCACACCCATCTTTGAACACCTTAAAAGGTAAGTGACACCATATCGTACCAGGGGCAAAAAGTGATGGGGCAAAGGGCCCCTTGGCCACCTTTGCAATATCTAAGCCCATTTTCATACTGGACATTCATTTTGATCTCAGTTACACATCTGTAAAGTTTTGTGGTTGCATCTTGCCAGTCGCAACCTTATTTCAGTGACAGAATCTGTCAATAGACAGATATAGAAATATAAACAATGTAAATGACTCAAAACATTGTCTTTGCTAGTTCCCATTACGGTAGGTGTCTCCAGGAGCACATTTTGAAAGAAGAAGTGCACACACTGCAATACTCATAAAGTGAAAAGAATACCAACGCCGCTATAGTGATTGGTAAAGTTGGGATAAGCAAAGCTTGTGTTAACTTTTGATAGTAAATTGTCTGGGAATTTAAGTTTAACAGGTGCTTTTGACATTTATTTGCAAGGTCACAGCGCCCTCCTGTGTACATTGTCAGTAATGCCACAGCAGGTTGACTACATACAAAACTGGGAATTAAATAAAATCATATTACCAGACATTCAAATAACCATTGGTTTATTAGTGCAAAACAAACACAAAAATAAGATTGAACCTTTTTTGCATCAGTAAAAATAATTTCTTAATAATTATTTTAATTTGTGTAAAGTTGGTCAACTCTGCATTTTAGCGTTCAAGGCACAAAACAAGCTCAGTGTGTATGGAAGAGCAGTGAGTTAGAAATAAACAATAGATTCCAACAAGACTAAAAAAGCAGTTCAAGTGCATTCCCATATCCTCATTAGTGTTTGTAATATATCAGTAACTACCATAACTGTTTTTAGATAGATTGTTATTGTAGATATACTGCTATGATTAAATGATATCATTAAAACCAGCCCCATTAAAATAATTAGTAATAATAATACAATTATGCAGCATAAGGGTCCTTTGGTTAAGGCAAGGGTCCAAATCTGCAAGCAGTAAACTAGCCTTAGCATCCTAATTTCACCACATTATAACCATCTTATGTGACAGTACATTAAGACCAGCTATTTATTGTGCTTCCTGTGTCTGATAGAGCACACCACTCCACTCTTTGGCCTGAGGGTGCCATTGTCCAAGATGTCAAAGCTCTGTCCCGGCGAAAGCGTAAAGTCAAACCTCTGGATCAGCTTGGCCATTACCAATTTCGCTTCCATCTGCAATCGCCCCACCACCAACAACGCATTGAGTTATTTCAAGGTGTTCCTATGTTTTATTTGTTATAAATATCGATGACTGTGTCACAACCCACCTGAGCAAAGTTCTGTCCCAGGCATGCACGTGGGCCGAGGGCAAAGGGGAAGTAGCAGTAATAGGGCCTTGTAAACAAGATAGACAAGACACATTAGGTACACACCTTTTTCTTGTAGAAAAAAGCATTATATGAAAGTTGTATGATACTTACTTGGGAGCATCTGGGTGAAATCTGTCCGGATCAAATGTCAGCGGGTCCTTGAAGAATTTTTCCATTCTCCCGGTCGTATACGTGTTGAACTGAATTTCAGAATAATTGATTGAAGATTTTTATAGCATGTCATGTCATAATGGTTTGTAAGTATTCCAAAGATATTTTGTACTGTTTGTTTTTTAAAGTTATGGTTGCCATTGTTCTGACACACACTTCCTGCTTTAGAGGTACTCACACAACACACGGCCCCTTTAGGTAACTTGATACCGTCGATGACAGTGTCTTCCGGTATTGCACGAGTAGTGACTGGAGCTGTCGGGTATAGCCTCAGAGTCTCTTTTAGCACCTGGTGGGAAGGTTACAGTGTGAAGTGTACATCCTGAGTCAATTACTTAAAAACAATAAAGAATAAATGATTCAAGCCAAATTTCAGAGAAGAGGCAAGTTATTGATTCATCTATTCAAGTATAGTATTGCAAACTAATGCAGCATTATTGGCGACGGGAAACGATTCGGAAGCATTAATGTACTTGCTGTCTGTAGCCAATTTGTAGTCCTGATAGTATTGACCAATCATGTTTGGTTTGGGGCTTTGGTTGCATTCAGGTTAACATTCCGGTTGGAGAGCACAAGAGGCAGAATGCATTGGTCGAAATGTGATCTTGGAACCAATCTGTAATTTGTATTAAGCTTTTTCTTGGTTTCATTTCATTAGATTTATCTGCATTTAAATAAGGATATTTGATTATAGATTAGTTATTTACATTGTCTATTAACTCCATCTCGCATCTAACTGACTCTAACGTCCTGAACACAAAAAAGGGAATCTTAGCTGGGATATTGGATCTGGTATAAACTTCCCCAAAATATTTGTAGTTGCTTTCAGGGGCTAAATTGATGGCTGAGGAATTCTGAAATTGCTTAATAATTTGGTTACTGGTCTACTGTAGATTCAAGGTGTATGTTTTAGATGACTTGAGTCAGAGAATGATTGAATTCATTAATAAATGAAAATAGGAGTAAGTTTCAAAATGTTTTTTCAACATGCTTCATGCTTTAACATTACTTCCTAACTTGTGTACCTGTGAGAGGTAGATCAGTTTTCCCAGATCGTCATAAATGATGATCTGTTTCATCCCAATTACGTCATCAACCTCGTTCTTTAATCTGAAAAAAATAACACAACTGAAGAAACCATCATTTCCAAGCTGCAGTATGAAACTGTTTTGCACTGCATGTTTAAGCACTATATAAATAACATGTATTATTATTATTATTATTATTATGTTTTGTTCTTACTTCTCCAGTATGTCAGGATGTCTTGTAAGTTCCTGGATGCAAAAAGCCAGCTGATTGGCAGTTGTTTCTTGCCCTAAAAGGTCAAAACATTACCTTTAAAATGTTGCTAATTTTGGATAAACGACACACAATTAAGTGATCCTTATCTCTTAAAAGAACATTTCGCCAAAATAAATTGTAACATTTAGTAGCCAAACTTAGTTGTGATAATAATAATACATATACATGAGACCTTAGCGATGTCATTATACCAAAAATATAAAAATATTGAACCTCAAATCTCTAATAGGTAACATTAAAATGTTGGGTGAAGTGTTCTTCTTATTTTGGAGCTTTTTAGACAAAGCAGAAACAACACAGACTCACCAGCGATGAAAAATGTCACGAAATTGTCCAACATCAGCTCCTCATCTTCTGAAGTCATGCTGTCCTCTGGGAAATAAGAAATTAGATGTGAAGAAGTAAACCAATGTGGAAGCCATCAACTATAACTGATAAAGAAGCCATGACCCTGTTAATCAAGATAAATCCAACAGACCTTGATATGAGCAGTTGTATGTAGGAACTGTTCTCTTTCTACCACGCTACACCTAAAACCCTGCAGGAGCAAGTGTGATTCTACCCAAGGACGGGTTGTCTCTTGTTGATGGTTCATAATTAACCGATACCACTAACTCAGTTAGCATCAAGGTGCTAGCTAATGTTAATGTAATGTAATGAGCAGAGATGGCAGGTGTAGTTCGGTAGAAAATAGTTCGTACATGCTACTGCTCACAACAAGGTCTGTGGATCATCTTTAGAAAGCGGGTCATGATTTCTTGAAAAAGACCTTGCTGTTGAGAATTATAAAGAAATGTTAATCATAATTTGAGAGAAGGCAGACATCTCTATGGAAAATATCCCACACTTAGTAAATCACACAAAAACAATCAAAACTAACAAATAGTACTCTAATATGAATTATTGATTTTGGGGCGAGTGGTGTATCTGAAATGATTGAACATTACCTTTGCCAGCTGTTTTGATGATCTGTGTGAGGATGTCCTTCGGGACGTCCTCGCCATTTAGCATGGCAGTCTTTCTTTCATTTATCCACTGAGTTCCAGTTGCGCGCAGCAGGCGGCAGGCTTCCTTCACTTCTTTAATGAACGGTTGGTTCTTGGGATAGTACTAAAAATGCAACAAATGTGAGTCTCACACAGTTTTTGTCATAACCACATAAACTCCATACAAACTTGCTGTGAAGTCATACTTCAAAAAAGATGTCTCTGATGCTGTAGATCATCCCCTTCAGAGTTAACTCGATGGCTTTAGTAAACACTGAATTATCCTTCATTTGGTCTAGATCCACACCAAAGGCAATCTGAGTGTCAAAAAGAAAACAAGGAAGTCTTTCAGATTCACAACCTGGTGAATTGTGTCACATGCAAAAACAACTTGTTGGATCAGAAGTCTAGGCTGTAAAACCGTGATATAATACCTTAGCGATAACATCAAGGGTAAGAGAGTTCATAAATTGGAGCATGCTGGCCTCCGCTTGGTTATCAGCGACATCTGTCAGTTTTGTCATCAGTTTCTCTGCCCTCTCATCGAAGGTGTCCATTAGACCTCTCAGATACCTGGAAATAAAGGTAGTTTTGGGCAGAATCTAAAATGACTGCAAACACTGCACGTAAAATAAAGGTTCAGGCAGCAAATACTTTTATTGTGTCGGTTTGTGATTATTAAATAACTTACAAGCTGCTGAACGCTGGGTCCATGATCCGGCGCTGTTTATACCACTGTTCATGATCTTGTGCTGTTACCAGGCCATTACCTAGGAACCTTGAAAAGAGAACATTAAAAAGAAAGACTTTCAAAAAGTTCAGAAATACACATCACAAATAACACTTGTAATCATTATTACTTCAAAGTTCTTGTTGCAGTATTTATATCACTAAGATATGTATGAACAGGAGCGCTAATCTGACTGTGTAATATATTACCTCATACCAAACAGATTGCCGATTTTCTTGTAGAAAGAATCTTTCGGATACTTTGGGGACATCAGGATCTCCTGAAATAGAGCCATCAAAAGAGGGTATATTGAACGACAAGGTGTTATACTACCAGGGATAATGCATCTCCGTTAATGGCAATAAGGACAATAGATGCTAAACTTTTGCACAGTGTTTGTGCAATGCTTATGCAACTGACACAATTACCATTGAAATCTGTTGGTTGTTTACCTTGGTTCCCTCTGGGCTGGTTACAAGGACTATGACCTGATGCAGGAAATTTATCCTGCAAACAGGCCCGTAATTCTCAGACCTGTAAATTACATTTTAATTATGGGTTTGGATTGCAAACAATACATCTGGTTACACCCAAAGGCGGTCACGATATCAATCTGGAGTAACAGAAGTAATGACAACTTAAACTTGTGGAACCTGTATAGACAAAGACTAATGGCAATCACACTAAAATGTAGTTAACAAACATTAACTTAGTAGGAAGTAACACACTAGCCCATTGCAGCCTAATGGTCAACGTGTAGCCTACACGTAACGTTATTTACGTAGGCTACTGGTGGTGCCTTCGACATAAATTGACAATGTTTGCACAATTACACACTTTCTAGGCTGAAAAATCTCTTATGCTTACCATTCCAGAAATGTGTCGTGTATAACGTCACCATTTTCCAATGCCCTCAAAAACGTTGGAATATGTCCGAGGAGAAAACTGGGTGATGTGAAAGCAAAAAGTGGCATGTGAAAGCCTAATTTAGCGTTGGAATGAACACACGTTAAATAAGCTAACTTTAAACAACGACCTAATTGACTTACTTGTCTCTCGGTGGCCCAGGTATGTAGTCATATGCCATATGAATGTATTGCATGTACAAGCAGAAACCAAGGAACGCTATGAAAAGCAGAAACAGCAAAAACAAAACAGTCCAGCTCAAAATCACATAGAAAACTGCCATTCTGGTAACCTTATGCTGACTGTCTAAACACAATCGTAAGTGTCCTCGAGTCTTGCAACTTCGTCGCCGTTACCGATTAACTGGTGGCGGAACTTCCGTATTGTCTTTCACACGGAACATACACGCGATTCAAAACAACGTGTAGTCACATATGCAGTGGATTTGGCTCCATAGCTCAGTGGTTAGAGCACTAGTCTTATAAACCATGGGTCGCGAGTTCGATCCTCGCTGGGGCATGGAAAGATGATGTTTTTCACTTTATGTAGAGACTTTAAAGTTACCTGTATGTACCTTTATAGAGTGGCGAAGTCACGCCCACCTACTTCCGGGTAATGGGACCTTATTTCGGAAAAATTATGCATTGAAGTCAATGGGGAGAGAAAACTTATCTTTCGATCCCGTTTGAATTGTGCCATGAATTACACATATGATGTTTGTCAATCTTAAAAAATCATTTCCATGTCAAAAAAGTCACAGTTTGTCGTAAAACTGTTGAAATATAAGACTATGAAAAATACGTAACTAGAAAGACTACAAATCCCAGAGTCATGTAAGTGATGTCACAATTGTTTTCCTCCACCATTCAGATACCTAAGATCAGCGCAATATAGATATAATCTATCTATATGGCGCTGGCTAAGATAAGATAACTTTAACAAGATGCCTGTGTGCTTAGTACCAGGTTGTTATTATACCAGCAATGGGTCTTGCTCGTTCTTTTGCTTCCCGTCTGATGAAAGGACCAGGAGTGGCTTGATCAAGTTAGCTACCTAGCTAGTAGCTAGCACGTTAGTTAGCATTACAGCCTTGTCATTTTTATTAGCCTTAACATGAAGTAACATTAAGTAACCCAAAATGTTAAACAGTAAGAGTAGTAGTCATATTTCGTGAACCCTTTGAATAGTACTGTCACCGGTGTGATCATTCTATCATACACCATTTAAGCCCGGGGGAGAAATGCTAACGCTAACGCTAGCGATCTTCTCTACTTCATGCTATCTGCACAAATGGTTGACATTAAACATTAAAACGACCAGGCAGTTCAGAGAGAATCAAAGGAAGGCAGGCAGGCAGCTTTGCATGACATTCTTCAGGACGTGTTTCATTGTGGTGATAGTGAGGATAGTCAATCGTTTTGTTGACAAGACAGTAGTGACAAGACAGTAGTGCCATCTTGGTGACGTGTGTTGTTGACCAGAGATGTAGTTCATTGAGCGTTTCACACAAACAAATGTGTTACTTCACAGTTTTACGACACATTTATTTTTTTTGACTTCGCCACTCTATAGAGTGGCGAAGTCCCTCCCCTTCCGGTTGAGCCCCATGGGACCTTATTTCGGAAAAGTTATGCATTGAAGTCAATGGAGAGAGAAAGATTATCTTTCGATCCCGTTTGAATTGTGCCACGAATTACACATATGATGTTTGTCAATTTAAAAGATAATTTTGCAAGTAAAAAAAAAAAAAAATGTGCCGTAAAACTGTGAAGTAACACATTTGTTTGTGTGAAACGCTAAATGAACTACATCTCTGGTCAACCACACACGTCACCAAGATGGCCGTCACTACTGTCTTGTCAACAAACGATTGACTATCACCACAATGAAACACGTCCTGAAGAATGTCATGCAAAGCTGCCTGCCTGCCTTCCTTTGATTCTCTCTGAACTGCCTGGTCGTTTTAATGTTTAATGTCAACCATTTGTGCAGATAGCATGAAGTAGAAAAGATCGCCGATGCTAACGTTAGCGTTAGCATTTCTCCCCCGGAATTAAATGGTGTATTATAGAATGATCACACCGGTGACAGTACTATTCAAAGGGTTCACGAAATATGACTACTACTCTTACTGTTTAACATTTTGGGTTACTTAATGTTACTTCATGTTAAGGCTAATAAAAATGACAAGGCTGTAATGCTAACTAACGTGCTAGCTACTAGCTAGGTAGCTAACTTGATCAAGCCACTCCTGGTCGTTTCATCAGACGGGAAGCAAAAGAACGAGCAAGACCCATTGCTGGTATAATAACAACCTGGTACTAAGCACACAGGCATCTTGTTAAAGTTATCTTATCTTAGCCAGCGCCATATAGATAGATTATATCTATATTGCGCTGATCTTAGGTATCTGAATGGTGGAGGTAAACAATTGTGACATCACTTACGCGACTCTGGGATTTGTAGCCTTTCTAGTTACGTATTTTTCATAGTCTTATATTTCAACAGTTTTACGACAAACTGTGACTTTTTTGACATGGAAATGATTTTTTAAGTTTGACAAACATCATATGTGTAATTCATGGCACAATTCAAACGGGATCGAAAGATAAGTTTTCTCTCCCCATTGACTTCAATGCATAATTTTTCCGAAATAAGGTCCCATACCCCGGAAGTAAGTGGGAGGGACTTCGCCACTCTATAGAGTATTCTATACTCTATAGAAGTCCCTCCCCTTCCGGTGGAAGATTATCTTTTGATCCCGTTTGAATTGTGCCACGAATTACACATATGATGTTTGTCAATTTAAAAGATAATTTTGCAAGTAAAGAAAAAAAAAAGTGTCGTAAAACTGTGAAGTAACACATTTTTTTGTGTGAAACGTTCAATGAACTACATCTCTTGCACAACAACACACGTCACCAAGATGGCCGTCACTATACTGTCTTGTCAAAAAAGGGATTGACTACCCTCACTATCACCACAATGAAACACGTCCAGAAGAATGTCATGCAAAGCTGCCTGCCTGCCTGCCTTCCTTTGATTCTCTCTGAACTGCCTGATCTTTTTAATGTTTAAGTCAACCATTTGTGCAGATAGCATGAAGTAGAAAAGATCGCCGATGCTAATGTAGCGTTAGCATTAGCATTTCTCCCCCGGGCTTAAATGGTGTATTATAGAATGATCACACCGGTGTGACAGTACTGTTCAAAGGGTTCACGAAATATGACTACTACTCTTACTGTTTAACATTTTGGGTTACTTAAAGGTAGGGTAGGTAAGTTTGAGAAACCGGCTCGAGATCACTAGAATTTGAAAATACACAACTGGAGAAAATCTGCCACTTCCTTATAGAGCCCCTCCTCCAACACACACGAACGCGCACATGACCAATGAGGGCACGAGATAAGTTTGTGCACAGATGGAAGGCTGACAGGCAGGTAGGCCATCCAGTTATTTTAGCCGTGCCGGCTAAAATGATTGGTCGTACTTTTTACAGTACTACGGCTTCCACAGATGACATTTTTGTATGGATTTGTTGTCAAAGCACTTAAGATATTCATTGCTATCGGGATGTTAAGAGCATTCCATGGAATATAACAAAAAGTGTATCTCGAGCCGGTTTCTCGAACTTACCTACCCTACCTTTAATGTTACTTCATGTTAAGGCTAATAAAAATGACAAGGCTAAGCCGGCTGTAATGCTAACTAACGTGCTTGCTACTAGCTAGGTAGCTAACTTGATCCAGCCACTCCTGGTCCTTTCATCAGACGGGAAGCGAAAGAACGAGCAAGACCCATTGCTGGTATGATAACAACCTGGTACTAAGCACACAGGCATCTTGTTAAAGTTATCTTTTCTTAGCTAATTGTGATATCAGTTATGAGTGACATCACTTACATCTGGGATTTGTAGTCTTTCTAGTTGCGTATTTTTCATAGACTTATATTTCAACATTTTTACGACAAACTGTGACTTTTTTGACATGGAAATGATTTTTTAAGATTGACAAACATCATATGTGTAATTCATGGCACAATTCAAACGGGATTGAAAGATACGTTTTCTCTCTCCATTGACTTCAATACATAATTTTTCCGAAATAAGGTCCCATGGACCGGAAGTAGATGGGCGTGACTTCGCCACTCTATAGCATGGTGGTTCGTTTAATTTTACATTTGCGATGTTCACGATGTCGTAATGCCTCCTGGAAGCATAGAAACCTGCAAAACTATGCTGTTTATATGCATATAGATGATGATGATTGACAAATCAGATTCACACTAACTGTAATGTAACCATGTTTCCTACGGTCAGCCTTAACATGTCCACTAAGTAACATTTGAATGAGTTATAGACAGTAGATGATAATAGATATTCTTTTCACAACTTTTAGGAAAAACAACAAACACAAATTAGTTCTAGAAAAAGGAATGAGTAAACCATGTCTTTCGGCTGTTTTAGGTCACCGGGTTTTACCTGTGACCAGTTTAGAGCCTTGAGATAATGTCTTGTGATGTGGCTTGGTGGTGATCTATTTTAGATCTTCTGATAGAATTGTCTCTGTAGTTTGTCAGGTCCCTTAAAATCTAAACTAATATGCTAACTAATTAATAAAGCTAAAGTTGGCCTTGTAAACTTCAGTTCACACACAGATAAAAGTTTTCACAAATGTGAAACGTTTAACTAAACTGTACTGCCTCCGACCTCAAAGATCATCATCAGTTTCAGACGGGAAATTCCTCCAAGACAGAAAATAGGACAAACGTTGCCAAACGGAGCATAGGACTACGTAGATAGATGCACTTCACACACCACATCCCCAATGCTTTCACCTCATCTGGTGAAGCGAAAACCCTCCTTTGGTTCATACAATTACACACTCATCTCAAGGCGCACCGGAAGAACTAATTGTTTGAGTCAACACAGCATTTCACATAGGCTTAACAAAGAGATTGATATAGAAGTGGCAGGCCAAGTGATGCAGATGGACATCGTTGGGCACTTATGTTTGCTCGTCTAACTGTATTGGCATCATTGAACACATTCTAGAGCGCTAAAAGGTGGCTAAACGGTGGTGACAAAGTAAGCACAAAAGATGCATTGATGCATTAGTCTGTACATAAAACTATTTGTAACAGGGAAATAATTCATATAACTAAAAAAGCCATGGTGATACACATACTATAGGATTATTTTGACTTGTTAGTAACTTTTCAGAGTCGCACATTTACGCAGAACATTACGCTTCTGTGTTAAAACATTTTTAAGTCCACTTAATTTAACCCTTTAAAGTTCTCACCAAGAAAAAAGCAATGAAAAAAATCTTTCTATACATTTTGTATTTCCTTGGGCCAATAATACCAATCAATGTTTTTTTTTTACAAAGGACCCCACAGTTTTTTTATAGGCCTCTAAGAAATGGTTGAGATGAGAGAAAAGGGGAATATTTAAGAATCTGCATAGATTTGTATGCATTAAACTGAAAGAAAATATATGTCTATGCATACATGACTGGG